CTCGGAGTCCATGGCAAGGCCCTTTGGGCTGGGCTTGGTTCGTAGGGAAGCTTTTCAGGCGTAAAAGCCCTCCAGAAGATGTGTGCTGAGAGCTGGAGCTGCTGTTCTCCCACTCTGAAGCAGGTTTTCTGCTGGAGGAATGGGAGGAGGGCACACTGGTGGCATCTAAAAATCAGAGCGAGGTGTTTTAATCCAATAGATAATAGCTCAGGTGTGCAGGAAGTATCTAAAAATTGAATTTAAAATAGAAGGTTTGTTTTATGTTATTGTATGTTATTTTTTTTAACCCTTCTGTGGCCCTGAGGCTGAGACGGGTCAACCTAGAACTTGTTTGAGTCAAGATTCTGGTGGTTGACAGAAGCTGCTGAAACTGCAGGAGGGGAGAGCTAGAAATACGCTGAATTATAAAAATTCTCTCCCTTTTACCCCTTTTCCCAAACAGCCGACCGTGGGCGAGAGGCAACCGGCCACAAGGATCAGACTCCGACTCCGAAGAACCCCGTCCTGAGCAGAGAGCGGGATCCTGAGAGGCAGAGCCAGAGTAAAGAGAAGAAGAGACGGAGAGATTCGTTGTCCCCTCCGTCCTCGGCGTACGAGCGAGGCACGAAGAGGCCGGAGGACAGGCAAGTTGTCTGGCAGATACGGTGGCAGGGCTGAGGGTCTCACCGCTGGGGCTGGGAGCGTTGGATCGGCTGTAATTCTGGGTAAAAATGCTGGGAAAAATGGTCCTGGTGGTTTTTGAAAACACCTGGGGATGGGGAAGGAAGTTTCCTCATGGAGGAATCTCATGTGCGTGGTGAGATGCATTCCCTGGCCGGAGCTGGGTGGCTCCTTGGCATTAAGTGGCCTCTCCTCTTGGATAACCTCACCATTCACCTTCAGATACACAGGATCCCAGCATGGCAGGGGCTGGAGGGGACCTCTGGGGATCCCCCAGCCCAACCCCCTGCCCAAGCAGGGTCACCCACAGCAGGCTGCACAGCACCGCGGCCAGGCGGGGCTGGAATATCTCCAGAGAAGGAGACTCCCCAGACCCTCTGGGCAGCCCGGGCCCGGGCTACGGCACCCTCAGACTTCCTCGGCTTCAGTTTGTGCCCGTTGCCCCTTGTCCTGTCGCTGGGCACCACTGAGAAGATCTTGTGCCCGCCCTCCTGACCCCCACCCTGCAGATATTTCGAGGCATTTCCAAGGTCCCCTCGCAGCCTTCTCTTCTCCAGGCTGAACAAGCCCAGCTCCCTCAGCCTCTCCTCCTAGGAGAGATGCTCCAGTCCCCTCCTCATCCTCGGAGCCCTGCGCTGGGCTCTCTCCAGTAGCTCCTCATCTTTCTTGAAGTGGGGAGCCCAGCACTGGACACAGCACTGCAGATGGGGCCTCAGTGGGGCAGAGCAGAGGGGGAGGAGACCCTCCCTCGCCCTGCTGCCCACACTCCTCTGAATGCACCCCAGGAGACCATTGGCCTTCTGGGCAGCCAGGGCACGCTGCTGGCTCATGGTCACCCTGTCGTCCCCCAGCACTCCCAGTCCCTCTCCGCAGAGCTGCTCTCCAGCAGCTCAGCCCCAGCCTGTACCTACCCCTTCAGATGTCCTTCACCTTCATCTTCGTATAACCTACCCCTCCATCGTCAGATAACCTACTCTTTCATCTGCAGATACCTACTCCTTCATCTTCAGGTATCCTCCCTCTTCGTCTTCAGGCACTTTTGGGGATTTAGATGGGTGACGAGGGAAGCTGTATCCAGCTCTCACACAGAAATTAGGGATGTAGCCCAGCTCATGCAAAGAGGTCCTCTGAGCCCTTCAAAGCCCATTTTTCTACTCCTCCTGTCCCCACTGCACTTTGGGATTATTCTAAACTTAAATTTAGAGCAAGCCCATGCCTGTACGAGCGCCAGCAGTACCCAAGCCAAACAGGGTTCCTAATGCAAACCAACTTCCTTGACCAAGTCAATGTTCCCCAAAGGCGTTGAGCACCAGGAAGGCGGCCAGGTAGGTGTGACCCCACCGAGCTGGTGCCGTGTCTCCTGCCTTCCCCTGAGAATGGTGGTGTCACGCTGCCATGACTTAGAAGGCATCTTTTTAAGTTTTTAACACCTTGCAGTGGTTTTACTTCGTGTTTCTTTTTTCTGGGCGCTCCATTGGGCGCTCCGTTGCCCGATGGATTCCCACCTACTCGCGTATGTTCTGCAAGCGGTAGACACAATAGAGAAACAGGATGGCAAATTTACTTACATCTTATGAAAAATGGGTTTTGAAACACAGTTTGTCTCGGGAGACAAGGCACGAAGTCTGTAAGCTGCAGTGAAAGTATAAAATACGTTAAATTGCCGCGCGCACAGATGCTGAGGATGAAGTAGGAAATAAAAACAGGGGATTTGTGTTGCTGTAGCGCGAGTTGTGCTCCTCCACGTGAAATGGTTCTGCTGACCAGGTCTGGTGGGATGGGTGTTTAGGAGAGTAAAGATAAGGGCTAGATAACTGAAATGTAGACGTCTCTTGTCTTGAGGAGTTGGTCAGTTCAGGGAACAAGCCGAAAGAGAAAATATTTTTAATTATTAGCTGGTCTCCCAGACGTTAAGTCAGAATCAGATGACCCTGGAAGCCACCCAGCTGCCCATTCCTTGTCTTCGAGACTCAGACATCGCTTTTGGAGCACCTGAGCCTGCGCCGGCTCCCGGGGTTATTCCCCAGCACCCCGCGGGCGTGCGGCCGGACACAGCCGAGCCGTCCCGGGGAGCAACAGAGGTGGTGGTGGTGGCAGGGCTGGTCCCAGGCAGCGCCTCAGTCAGCGGCTGCTCGCGACCAGATACCCATTTTCCTCCCTCAGAAGTTGCTTCTTGGTTAAGAGGAGGAAAATATTACACATCTTGCATTTCGAGGAGGCTTCAGATCGTGTTAAAAGCAGTAAGAATACCGAGGAATTTCCTTTAAAGAAGTCAGTTTGCTGTTGTCCCTCTTAAATAGGATCTAAAGCCACTGAGTAATTAGGGAACAATTGGTGGTGAGTCAGCCAGACCGGACAACTTTTGTGTTGAGCTGCGCTGGGAAGCTTGAAGACTTCTGGATTAAAAAAAAAAAAAAAGAGACGTAAATCTATACGGCTGTAATTAGCCGTTTGGAGGATGGAAACATCACTGAGGTCTGGGGGGTAGCGGTGGAGCTGAGTTGAGATACGAAGAAGGATGGAATAAAGAGCGTGTGTTTTGCGGTACTTTAAACAGAACAGGGAATTCCGCGGGCGAGGAGTTGCCTCCTCCCTCTCTTCCTTCCCGCGGCCGCATCCTCGCTGACGAGCGGCCGGGACGAGCACCGGGGTGCCGGCATCCCTCTCTGAGGATGCTCTCACTCTTTTCATTTTGTATTTGTTGAAGGATTTAACGAGACAAAATCACAAAGCAGGCGGAGAGGGGAGCAGAGGAAATACAAGAGC